AACTTCAACATCTGAATGAATTAAAATTGTCAGATTGATATATTGTCGATTTTAGATAACTTGTAATAATAATATTTCTAGAGTCAACATACAGATTTAATTTATTTGGTTATTTAATATTATGAATCAAAACTTGGATTGGTGAACGAAACATTAGGGATTCTCGACACCTTACCGTTTTTATTATTGAATTGTGTTCATACAAATTCCCTCATTTCTATTTTATTTGCAACAAAATCTCAAAAATTATTCTTTTTCTTTCATTCACTTTTCTCTAACACTCTTATTCTGTTAGTCATTCTTGTTATTTTGTTATCTCTCTGTGGATACGACCGCCCTTCTGTGCTACAATTGACCGCTTGTAAACATCACTTTTAGGCGTTAATCAATCCTCGCCAGTACACGATCTTAGACAATGGAGATAGGAGATATTCGACAATAGCCAATCCTCGTAATCTCCCCACATCCTCGCAATCTCTGATGAGTTTCATGTTAGAAAAAATGGCTTGTAAAGCCATATTAAAGGCCCATTTTAGAAGGGGCCCAATTGGATTTTAGGACGGGTCTCGATGGATTTGCGTTCTCCATCGTAAGGAGATCAAAATCGGATATTCATACGCTCAAAATGGATATTAGGTGAATGAGAAATTGATGTTCTAAGTATGTCACTTGGAGTAGTTAATATAGTTGGAAATTGTAAAAATTCCACATTGGCTAGGAATGAAGCCTTGGTGGTGTTTATAAGTGATTGCACTTTGAAGCCTAGGTAAGCATGTATACCAGAGAGGCTCTCTCACGCGTAAGGGGGGTGCGAATCACGATCCTGGCGGGTTAGGGGCCCAATGTATGCGCCCGCAACTTGTGGACACGAATGCCGGACCGAAAAAAACGCTCAGTGCGAGCTTCGTTTTGCAATTTTTATTTTTACTTTTTCCAACTGGAATCTGAAAACTGCTGCATGAGTGGATGATTAACTCTGCATTAGTGTAGGATTTTGAGAAAACTGCAGCATTAACCAGCATTATTACATGGTTTATGGACATTTAACCATCGAATAAAGACATACCTTGGAGCAGGTTTATCAGGGGCTGTAACCTCGGGTTTAAACACCATTAATCCGAGAACCAATCCGGATTTATACACCATAATGTCATGGGGTAACACCCAGATTTTAGAGCCTATATAAAGGCCATACTTCACATGAGCAAGGACAACACTTGCACAGAGCACTCACCTCTCTCTCTCTCTCGGGTTCATTCTCTTGTTTCCGAGCTCCTCTTGCGTTTTCTTTTGTAGTTCAGTTTTAGTGATAGAGGGAAGATCCGAGTTCTAATTCGCCAGACGGTTCTGATAGTGCTTCGAGCTACCGTCGTTGTCGTTATATCCTAGGAGATGGACGTCCAACGTTACCATAAGCACTCGCCGGAGGGGACGAATATGTTTTAAGGAAAGCGTGGTTCACGTGCCTCGACATCCTTGCAATTCAGTTTCTGAGTTTGGTAGAAAAGGTTGAATCAGTGTTGTAACGATTTCGTTATTTTGTTTTTCCATAATTATTGTTGTTCTTCTTTGTATTATCCATATTTTCCTAACATTTCATCACCTCCATTTGTCGCTCATCATCGCAGATCTAGGATCGTCGCAAGCCGGAGCAGATCGTCAGTGACGCTCTTATACTGATGCGTAACTCCCTATCGTCAGCACGACGAACGTCGTTATAGCCAACGTTATGAGCTCTAACGTGATCTCTGACGTAGCAGCCATCGTTGTTGTCAGAGTCTGCAATTCACGAAGAGAAAGAGAGATAAGAGCGAAGAAGATAGAGAGACATAGATGAGGAAAGGAAGTGGGAATAGGAGAGAGGGAGAGAGAAAGAGCAGATCCCAACTTTGAGAAAGAAAAAGAAAAAGAAAACACCCTGCAAAGAATGGTAAAATTGGAAAAAGTAATTTATTTCAAAATAAAAAATAAAGATATGCTATCACTTAACATCATTTAAAAAATTGTTATATGATTCATATGCACCTCTATATATATCTATATATATATATATATATATTTATTGAGTATTGACCTAAATATATATTAAGCATTGAAAGTATCATTCGCAGGTACAAACATAAACAACCAAAATAAGTGCTTGTCTTGTGTACAAAGATACATTACTATTGTTTACTTTTCTTTTAATTAGGTTAACTTGTTTTGCCTGATCGTTAGGGATGCAATCAAGACCAAACATAGGTGATAATAGCCACTCTTATTTTGTGTCTTACTGTTACGGGGAACGCGGCATCAAAATTTTTTAATTAAGAAGTAAAATTCATATCCAAACGACGATGAAACGCAATGTGTATTTAGAATCATTTTTTAAAACTGTTTTTACGTATTTCGAGAAGTAAAAGCTGAAAATAAAAACGCAACGACTTTTATTTAACAAATGTTTTGAAAATGAAAACGAAAATAGTGAGAATTGTGTTTGTGAAAGAATTAGAAAGCAATTTTCACTTTTCTATTTTCATTTTTTAGTACTTATCAATAATATTATAATATATTAATTAGTAACAAGATTTCATTTTTTTATTATACTCAAAACAATCTCTTAAAAAATCAATCAAATACAATTTCAAAATTGGTTTCAATTCTCAAAACAATCTCATTTTTACTTTTTATTAAAAACAGAATCATTTTAAAACTAATTTCAAACACATCGTTCTTATTGCCAGGTCCAAAGGTTAGAATAAATTTAGATTTTTAAGAAAATGCTATTTACTAACTAGGTAAAGTAATTATGCTATTTACTATTTCAAGATTAAAAAATCGGCTATACACTACAATTTCTGATTTTATTAAGGCACCCCTTTTAATTATTTTTTGCTATTATAAATTTAAGCTAAATAAAAAGACTAATAGACATGTTTATACACCCTTTCTTAGTTTCTTTTTGGAATCATGGACGCCGCACCCTTTTTTTCTCATAAAAGAAAAATCGAACACCCTTTTTAAGCTTTACTCTAGAGATTACCCTCGTAATGTAATTATGTATGAAGGTATACACACTCAAGTCACTGACGATTTACCCAACTCTACTAGAAATTTTCCCTTGACGAAAGCTTTTCTACAAAAAAAAAAAAAAAAAAAAAAAAAAAAAATTTCTGTCGATAACGAAAGGAGTACGACAATGTTATTTGCAGGTGTTCCTATTTCTTGGTTGTCCAGTAACTCTAGTTGCTGCTAATTGGTTTAAGCACCACCATTTTATATGCAAATTGATGAGCACAATTCATGAATAATATATACTTTTTATTTTGATTTAATTTGATAGAAAGTGAAGTAATGAAAATTTTTGTATTTATATTTGTTGTGAAGAGTTTTTTTCCAGATTTTTTTTTTTCGATGACAAATTCCTTAGAACTTAAAAAAATAAAACAAAATAAAATTCCTTAGATAGTGAAGGAATGAATGCGGTATCAACCACATAAATTTTGAAAAATAAAGTATCTCAGCAATACTGCAATAGAGCAAAAAAAAAAAAAAAACGGCAAGTTTCTTCCCTCTAAAAAAAAAGGAAAAACGTAAATTACTAAAAATACAAAGCATAATTTTTCTTTGGATTCTTCAAATAACAATGTTGAGTTAAGGTGCACTTGTATAGGGTATTTGAGGATTATAAAGAGATTTTAAGATTGAAAAGTAAATAATTTTGAGTTTTAAATTAAATATTGTTATTTTGGGGTGCCTTTATGAATATTAGGTGTGTCAATAAAATTTCTGAAGAGAAAATTACCGAATTTATCTAAATTTAACATTGTCTGAATTTTTACCTCTTATTCTTAACTAATAACATTTTGATTAATATAATTATTTGATTAAAAATAGTATTAATCAAGAGTAAGTGGTAAAATTTCACATTTATGTACTTTAAAAGGGTATTTGTCTCATTTTCTTAAATTTTGAGAAACGCCAGAAAAACAAAAAAAATAATAATAATAAAAAAACTAGAATTTACAAGAATAGGATCGAGACAAAGAAATTCACCATTTTTTAAAAAATATTTTTAGAATAACAAAAAATTCTTAATGATTATAATTGGTTGGTGTTTTTTTTTTATTTTTTATTTTTTTTTTTGCGTTTGGTTTGGTTGGTTTGTAGCGTTTTTCTTGGAAGTCTAGTTATTAAAAGTTTTCTCTTGAAGCGTTCTTCCCACCCCGATGGTCTTCTTTTCGACTGTACTTTTGTTGAAGGCTTGGGACAGTCGTGTTTTAAGTTTTTAGTTGCTTATATTTTAGTCTAATAAAGGCGTCGATATTTCCACTATGTAGTTTTAGTATTTTCATTGTAATACTGGAGGTGGTTCTCCCACCGTTTGAGTTTGTTTTTGGTCCTCTAAATTAAAGTCTTGAAAGTTCCACTAGCTATGAGTCTAAGTGGAGATGTTGGTGGCTTTAGAGCTACACGTTACATGCTCTCGATAGATGAAAAGCTTTCATCGATTGTTGTGGTTTCAAAAAAAGTCTTACGCGTGCTCAAATTGAATTTCCCTTATATTAAGTCTCATCTTTCATCGTTTTTATTGTGCTTCATCAGAATTTAATAATAGAACCCGTTTTTATCACGTCCTTTATATTGTGTATCACATAATCATCCGCATTATTATTGGTGTTTATAACACTTTTTAGTTGAATGGAATTTTACCCTAAAAAAAGAAAAACCAAAAGCAGAACTAGGTTTTGTAATACTTGCACGTAGAGAGTAAATTTAACGAATAACATCTCACTCAAAATAAATAAATAAATAACATCAGCAATCACAAAATGGAAGTATCAACACTACGCCAACACTTTGCCAGCAAAATTAACTGCTTATATCATCGCTCTATTGTATCTTTTATCTATCATCATATAATAAGAAGCCGATAGTTTCTTTTGCGTCATGAGACTTTTGCTTGCAACTCAAAATGAGATGAAAATAGAGTCTTATTCTCAGAAATTGACAACATCTCGTGCATAAACCTTGAATAAAACTATATGATGAGTGAATAATAAAAAGAAAACCTTTTCCCTTCTTACGACCATTATACACAATTATTACATATTCATTTAAGTACGAAATTAACCTTACAAGAAAACTGACTGACTAACTAGCTCTCTCCTTACAAGAAAACTGACTGGCTAACTAGCTCTGTCATGCTTCTGCAAGCAAACGACAGCATTAGCAAACTGTATTGGTTAGAATCGGCAACGCGGCACTTCCATTCTCAGATATCCCTTAAAGTTGTGTATTAAGAGGCAGCTAAACATCGGAGTTCACATCTCCCCGTGAGTGACGAGAGTACCAAGCAGCCTAATCTTGTGCACCACTTTCTTCAAGATTCATGAGTGAAGAGGAAAGAAGAACTGTATGGCATAGAGCCACAAGTATGTGGACGAGAAAAAGCTCAGAAACTTTAATTATCAGCAAGCAACTGCAACATCTGATTGAGACTGTTCATTGTCCGAGTCGAGGACCAAAGGACTCTTCTGAAACTTGTTTCTCAGCTGCCCGCAAGCTGCATTCGCCTCTAAGCCCCTTGTTTGGCGTATGCTGACAGTTATTTTACGGGACTCCAGAGTGGCCGCAAATGCCAATGCCTACAGAACATTTGAAGAAGGCACTATTAATATAATAGAAACGAAAAATCCAGCAGAGCTCAATAAGGATGATGAGGCATTCTTGTTGACAAGAAGAAAAGAATGTAGGAGACAAATACCACTTTTTTGCTTGGACGCTTATACTCAGATCCTTCTATAGGATTGAAAGGTATCAGATTCACATGATAACCACGTCCCCACTGATGAAGTAGCTCTGCAAGTTCTGTCGCATGCTCTACTGCATCATTGACCCCAGCTGTCGGAATATATAGTTGTTATTCAAACAAAACACCCATCTATGTCAGTAAACTTCAACCAAGAATTCAAGTAATGGACAAGTTATTACAGTACCTAACAGTGCATACTCGAAAGAGACCCTTCGACTGGTTTCAAGGAAGTAGTTCTTGCAATCCTTCATGATTGCGTCCAAAGGGTAGGCTTTTGCACTCGGCACAATTGCCTCTCTAAGTTTCTGGTTAGGAGCATGCAGGCTGATCCAGAAAAATTGAAAAGATTAACACAGAACGAGATTGGACAATTGCATAAATCACATAAACTACTGTCAGGTAACATTTTTCATAATAAAGCTAATATACCTGATAGCTAATGTGGACTGAAGTTTGTGAGAAGCCAGCCTTTTAATTGTGTTCGGAACCCCCACAGTGGAAATTGTGATCATTCTTTGACCAATTTGTACATCCTTGAGAAACACAGTAGTTCCATCACAAACAGGTTTCCGCTTTAAAGGTGATTTGACAGTCTTACAAAAATTTTAGAACAAGGCAACTTAAGCCGAAAGGGGACATATTTAAAGGTGACAACAATGAGCTGAATGAAAAAGGATGATAAAGTAGCAAATGCACAGAATCCTTGTAGGCGCACCTTATTCAGGCAACGGTGGGCTTCAAGTACTGCTTTCATATTCAGCATTGGCTCACCCATTCCCATAAAAACTACATTTGTCACCCGATGCTTGAAGGTTTCCTCAATAGCCAATACCTAGGAAATGAAGCAGATTTTATGACCAACGTGGAAACACAATTTGTAAATTTAGTGCAAGTGATAGACAATGACAGGCTTTATTTTCTTTTTTGAAGAGAAGGATGTTGAAATAATTTTCAAGCATGTGTCTGCATCTGTTCGAAAAGACTCTGCACAATGATAAACATCCAAGAAAACCTAAATCACCTGAGACTTGGAACAAATGAGCATGGGGATAGAAAGTCACCTGTTCCACAATTTCATGCGCTTGAAGATTCCTTGAGAAACCCCCTTTCCCAGTTGCACAAAATGAGCAGCGCAAAGGACAGCCTACCTGATTAATTAACGGACAAGGTGTGACGATGACTTACATTAACAATCATTCACGTGCACAAATACACAAAAATCCAAGGTTTAGAAACTACAATGGAGGGCAGAATTTGAAACTTTCAAATCATCATTTCAGATAATGACCTGTGATGAAACACAAGCCGTGAGACGCATTGAACCTTTGTCATCTTTAACTGGTATGCCAACGGTTTCAATCAACCTGTTATCATCCAACTTTATCAATAGCTGCAAGACCAGTAACAAGCACAATTAGACAATTTGCATTACCATAAACAAGCAAAACTGTATAAAATACAAAAGAGAGACTGAATCTCCCTAAAACAGTACCTTATTAAACTAAAATCAACAAATAATTCAAAGCCAACAAAACTTAGCAAGTAGATATAGAAGAAAGGAAAATTCACAAGTTTCAAGTACTAATGTACTCTCCCTCCTAACATTAAGATAACCCCACATCGCAAATATTGGTTAAAAAAGAGAGAGAGAGAGAGAGAGAGAAGAAGAAAAGAACTCAACTTATCATCTAAAAGGATTATTATCTACCTTTATAGTTCCATCTGGGGCGGTGACACTTTGGTAAATGGGTGACCGTCCCACTCCCCATCCAGCGTCCCGAAGCTCATTCCTGAAAGCCTTGGGCACTTTTGTTGTGCACACAGGAACCAATGAAAAATTAGCCCCCAAGTAACAATTTTGGTGAGATGACTCTGTGTTAGAGAACGTCGTTCAAATTCAAATTCTAAAGCGTCACCAACAACTGAATCTTCCTATACATAGTCAACAATCAAAGGCCTTTTATCCAGAACTTTAATTCTTCCAGGTTCTGCATAACCATCTGTTTATTTTGTTTTGTTTTTTAATTTGAAAGGACCATCTGTTTAAATTCAAATTGATGTAATCTAGGGAGTTTTTTGGTTTTCAGTTTCCAACTGACAAACAACAAATAGCCACATGAGACACTTAGCTCCAATGCAGACAGTTGTTGATGAGTTGACGGCCCTTGGAGCTCCACCGAGTGATGGAGATCTCATTCCTTATAGCACACACTGTCTTTGAAAAATTGCATGATAAACTCATTGATCATGAGTCATTTCTTCCCCATGTTGAAACCAACAATCGTTACCCAAACCCCCTAACTGCCAATTTGGCCAAGACTGCTCCCCCTCCACCAACTTTTGACCCCCAAAGAAAAATTGTCCTTCTCCACCTAGATTTCTGCCAAAGCCAAATTAATGCAAGAGTGATGCAACCATTCCTCCAAAAAGTTGCAACCGATAGAAGATGCGCAATCAAATCCTTTATTCACCAACCAAAACCAGACTCGGATATAAACCCTAAGCATTACTCATTTGCGCCCTTGCGAATCCGTGGGCGCACCCAATTGACTGGCTTGGGTACTTCTTCGAAGCCCAAACCAACTAGTAATATGTCAATTATATGGCAAACGCGGCCATGATGCTGTGAAGAGTTTTAAGCTATTTCCTAAACTCTGACCAAAACGAACCTCTGGAAATCATGCTACCACCTTCTCACCTTCAAGTGGTAACTGGTAACTTGATAATGGACTCAAGTGTCACCATGTCACACTCAAGTGCATCTCATCATGTCATCTCTCAAGTGTCCAATCTCTCTCTTCACCATAACTATGAAGGTCCCGATGACTGCGTCATCGGTGACTGTTCAGGTTTGCATATTACTCACAGCCGCTCTACTTCTCTTTCTCCTCACTTAGCAAAACATAACACGTTCGATAAAGTAACAACTACGTCAAATGTGTTATGTGTCAAGTAACAACAAATATTTCATTTTATATGAGGAGAAATCATGTAGAATCCATGTAAAGATTCGGTTTTTGGTGAAGCTTTAGAATTTGAATCCGAAAGACATTCTCTAACAATATGCACCAAACAAAAAAGAATACTAATAATAATAAAAGAAAGAAAAAAAAAACTTACACTGACTAAAATCTTCGACATTCCTGACCTTTCTTTGGTAAATAAAATGATGCAGTTGCTTCCCTCTATAACTTTGCTGTAAACCCAAAAAAAAAAAAAAAAAAGAATTTACGAATTCAATATTTTTTAGCTAATAAAAAAATGGTCATTTGAATAATTCTTGGAAATTTGTTACCTGACCCAAGTCGACGGCGAGCTGTTGGAGCTCGGTTTCGGACAAGCCGAGGAGAACACGTGAGTCGGCGTTCTGGGCACGTGAGGGTGTCGTAGTAAGTGTGGTGGAGAGGTTTCTGCGCTTGTGCGAGGGAATGATGGTATTGGCTGCTACGGAGCGAGTACGGACCGCACGTGCAAAGGAGGCTGAGCACACGTGCTGAATAAACGCCATTGGTGTGCCCATCGTCGTGCTTCTGCTGTTTGAACCTCTGTTTTTGCCAAGTTACAGAATTTGAAGGTTGAGGAGGAATGGGGCAGGAGAGAAGCTAAAATCTCAGCTTTTATAACAAAAAGACGATTATACCCTTATAGTGCCTAAGGGCCAAACGCCCTATAAAAAAAATAAAGAATTTACTTTTAAAGTGCATAAATTTAATATTTACTTGTTATTCTAGATTAATATATTTTTATAATTATTTGATTAAAAAATATATGAATTAAAAGAAAATGATAAAAATTTAAATCTATAAACTTTTAAAGAGTATGTGTCAAGATTATCTACTTCTAAATGACTTTAGACCCATATTAGGCTTCCTCCACATTAATTAATTTATTTATTTTTCTTTTATTTTTTTCTCCCTCTTAGGGGGCGTTTGGTATATAGTAATCTTAAGAATGAGAATGAGAATCTATAATATTACCATGTTTGGTATAAGAATTATAATTTTTAGATTCCCAGAAAAGTGATTACCATGGGATTCACTTTTCATCATTTTAAGGTAATTTGAATACCACCCAACATGGTGTTATTCAAATTCCCAGGAATCTCAAAATCATGGGAATCTTATTATTATTATTATTAATATTAATATTAATATTAATATTAATATTAATATTAATATTAATATTAATATTAATATTAATATTAATATTAATATTAATATTAATATTAATATTAATATTAATATTAATATTAATATTAATATTAATATTAATATTAATATTAATATTAATATTAATATTAATATTAATATTAATATTAATATTAATATTAATATTAATATTAATATTAATATTAATATTAATATTAATATTAATATTAATATTAATATTAATATTAATATTAATATTAATATTAATATTAATATTAATATTAATATTATTGTTATTATTATTATTATGGATCTTCTTCCATGCGAACAACCAAACACAATAATGTAATATTCCTGGGAATTTGAAAAATATTCTTGTATGGAACCAAACACAGTAATGTATTATTCTTAGGAATCATATTACCCTCCATCACTTTTCTGGGAATATGATTCCTACTGATTCTTGCATACCAAACGCCCCATTACAGTGTTGGGAGAAGAACTCCCAAGTCTCCAATGTGTAAGTTTGTGAATTTTTAAGAGAATAAGAATAACTTGTACATTGTAAACACGTGCGAATTTTAAAAGTTAAATTACAAAAGTTATAATAAATTTGTATCGAAGAAGGACCATATTTTTTTTTATATAAAATTAAGGTGTAAGTATTTTTTCACAATATTGAAATATGTTTAGGAACTCATGACATAATACTAAATAACACAATTAAAAAATAGTTTTTAAATAGTTATAACACTTTAATGCCAAACGTGGGATCAGTCCCTAAATCTTAACGTTATCACGTGAATTTGTAAAATTAATTACAAAATAAGGGGTGATAATTATTTGTCAAACTAGCAATAACTACAAATATTAAGTAGATATGAAATGAACTTGGAAATGAGCGGCAATGGTAGGAAATGAGCAAAAATTCTCTATTCTGATTGAGAAGAGATTTGACGTTAAGTATCCAGTAGTTGCCAGATCTCTCCAAAGTTACAAAGATGCGTGTAAAAGAGATTTGATCAACAAATAATGGCCAAACTAAACTACCATTAACACTCAAAATCGTTCACTCACTAATTTTCTAACAATTCACAGCACGGAAGAAGGTTGCCACTAAGACTTGGTAGAGCCATTCATTTGAGCTGCTAATTGCGCATAAAGCTTGGCTAGAAATTCCCACCTACAAGAATAGCCTTCGAAAGGATCTCCTCGGTACTTTGCTTTCCAGCTTTAGTCTTCGATAGGCCTCTCTGATATGGCCAGGCCGGATTGCCCCCGAGTCCTTCCTTTCTGTCATAAGTACTGTTCTAGCTGCAAAGTTGAGTAAATCAACTTTAGCCATTACAAATATCTGAAACCATGCATTCTAGTGAAGGTAACACAGCTTCCTGAGTACATTTCCTATTTCATTTCCATACAACTGATCTTCAAAAGGGAATTAGAGGGTCCGGAAAAATCAGGGTAATTAAAGATGAACATGCCACTAGTTTCATAAGGGTAAGGTATATATAATTTTTAGTTAGAAGGATCATCCATGCAAGTAGGCAGAATATGCTAATGAATGTTTGGTAGTTTTAAGACATAAATTCATAAAGTTTACACTCTACCTGTTTCAATAATGTCACCGACAAACAATTTTGTTGCTGCAGAAACTGCAATTATAAGTGGCTCTGAAATTGTCTTCGTTCCGGTGATGCCTTGCAACAGCTGCAATCACATCAACATGATAAAACAAACAGGAAAAAAAAAGTACGAACCAAGCAGATACATTTTTTTTTTATGTGATTCTATTGCTCTCAGTTATGTAGAATTAGGGTTTAACAAGAAACGGGGAATTCAGCAAAGATACAGAAGAATTAGCATACCCTTCGCATGTCCGCTTTCTTAAACCGAGATCTCCGGAAGTACTCATATCTTGCCCATCTGTTCTGCGACATGATAGCCCTGCAAGAGGATATATACGTAATGGAAACACCCATTGCACTCAACATTTATCATCAACTAATCAAACAAAACTATCAAGCAAAGGGGAGAGAGAGAAACACATAACAAAACAAGAAAAGCCACAAGAATTCACCAAGAAAGCGAAAGAAAGAGAGAAACAATCTTGCGCTTACTTTGTCTTGGCCAGTATACTGGACTCGCCGCTGTTAGCAGAAGTTGAGATATTCTGAATCACAACGTCCACATTCTCATCTTCTTCCTGATCTTCCTTGATACCGATTCTCTACAAACAGGTTTAGGATGTGAGAAAATATGTCTGTGAAGGGTTGGTTTTTTTTTTTTTTTTTTTTTTAAAGAGAATTTAAAGAATGAAATGTTTCACCACTTAAAAATAAGATCTCGCCACCTTAAGATACATAAACAATAAAGAAAACACCACTCAATAAAAATCCACCAAAGATATAAGAAATTCTGTAGTAGAGCTGAATAGCTTCAGTTTTTACAATTCACCAAAATCATCCCAGTTATGGCTACATACATTCTTTTAAAGGCACATTTTTCCTAATGGCTGCAATAATAAGCCACTAATTACAAGCTTAAAACTGAAAACATAACTCCTCAACCTACTAAGACACACACATAAAAGTTGAAGTTACAAGCCACACAAATTTCACCATTACAACCAATTAAACACAGCAGAAACTCCTAATTAAAACACAACAGATAACCACCACTTTCAGTCAGGCTCAACACAATTAACACCACCAATTAGCCCAAAACGTCCACATCTGGAACTGCTTAGCCACCAAGCAAAGGAATTAGGTCTGAACTTGAACTAAATAGCTTGAAGAAACAATTAAGTCCAAACCCGAACTCAGACCCGGGTCCACATATCTACCTTGGTCCGAACTTGAACCTGGATCCGAACTTGACCCGACTTGAACTTCATCATTCTCCCCTGGTTGGACAAGACTCGGCCTCAAGTCAACCAATCCATCATCATCTAAATAAGGAGACAAATCGGCCACATTAAAAGTAGCAGAAACACCATAATCTCCCGAAAGCCCAATCTTGTAAGCGTTCTCACCAATACGCTGCAACACCTTGAATGGACCATCAGCTCTAGGCTGAAGTTTGGGAAACTTCTGATTGGGAAACCGCTCCTTCCTCAAGTGAATCCACACCTTATCTCCTTCTTTGAATGCAGCAGGCTTCCTATGCTTGTCCGCTTGTTTCTTGTATTTTTGCGTTTGCTTGAGGATATTGTCTCGAACTTGCTGATGAAGCTTCTTTATTTGTTTTGCCCTTTCTTCAGCATCACCACTAAAACTTGTTTGAACAACCACTGGAGTCAAATCTAAAGGGCTCGTATGATTCTTTCCGCAGACGACTTCAAATGGGCTACGACCAGTAGTTTGGCTCGCTGAACGGTTATAGGCGAATTCGGCATGAGCTAACGTTAGATCCCATTCGCGAATGCTTTTCTTCACTAAGCTCCGCAACAACGCACCTAAGCTTTGATTAACAACTTCAGTTTGTCCGTCCATTTGTGGATGAAAGGAAGCACTGAAATGCAGCTTTGTTCCCAATTTTCCCCACAACATCTTCCAAAAGTGACTCAGGAACTTTGGATCTCGATCTGAAGTGATTGTCTTAGGAATGCCATACAGCCTAACTATTTCTTAGAAATACACATCAGCCATATATGTTGCATCTGACGTCTTTATGCAAGGAACAAAATGAGCCATTTTAAAAAATCGATCTGCAACCACAAAACTTAAGTCTTTACCTCGCTGAGTGCGTGTCAATCCCAACACGAAATCCATGCTAACATCCTCCCACGGAGAAGAAGGGATTGGGAGCGGAGTGTATAAACCAACATTGCTCCCATGCATCTTGGCTTTTTTGCAGGTTACGCAATGACCAACAATGCGGCTCACGTCCCAAATCATCTTTGGCCAAAAGAAATGCTCTTGCACAAAGAGCTTTGTTTTGTCACGACCAAAATGTCCAACAAGTCCACCACTATGTGCTTCACGAATGATGGCCTCCCGGAGCGAACTTTGCGGCACACAAAACTAGTTCGCCTTGTAAAGAATACCGTCTTGCAGAAAGTACGGCTTCATTGGTAGCTTCCCAAATGGAACCAAAGTCAGGGTCTCCTTCGTACAAAAGCTTCACACTTTCAAAGCCCACCACCTTGGCCTGCATACGAGTCACTAGAGCTCGATGTCTACTTAGAGCATCTGCCACCTGATTCACTTTGACAGATTTATGCTTTATTACAAAATGAAAAGATTGAAGGAATTCCACCCTTTTTGCATGACGTGAGTTGAGCTTGTACTGGCTATTCAGATTCTTGAGACCGATTCTCTACAAACAGGTTTATGATGTGGGAAAAGATGTCTGTGAAGGGTTGGTTTTTTTTTTTTTTTTTTGAAAAAAAAGAATTTAAAGGATAAAATGTTTCACCACACCACCTTAAGATACAGAAACAATAGAGAATTCACCACTCAATAGAAATCCACCAAAGAGATAAAAAATTTTGGAGTAGAGCTGAATAGTTTCAGTTTTTACAATTCACCAAAATCATCCCAGTTATGGCCACATACATTCTTTTATGGCCGCAGTTAGAAGCTTAAAACTGAAAACATAACTCCTTAGCCTACTAAGACACACACATAAATGCTGAAGTTACAAGCCACACAAATTCCACCATTACAACCAATTAAACACAAGAAACCCCTAATTAAAACACACCAGATAATTACCATTTTCAGCCAGCCTCAACACACAATTAAACACACCTTAAACACACAATAAAGACACAATTAACACCACCAATTAGCCCAAAATGTCCATATCTGGAACTGATTTGCTAGCAAGCAAAGAATTTAGGTACTTGAATTAAATAGCTTAAAGAAACAATTAAGTCAAAACCCGAACTCAGACCCGGGTCCGCATATCCACCTTGGTCCGAACTTGAACCTAGATCCGAACTTGACCCGACTTGAACTTCATCATTCCTCCTCGTCGTTAGATTTCGACGCCATTGTTAATAGCTCCGAAGCATCGGAAGTTGTCGACTGAATTTCACGAGTCTCATCATCTGACGAATAATGCTCCCACTCTTTAAACGCCGCTTCAAAGGGGTCCATGGATTAACTTTCAAAACTGCTTTCTCAGCTTTGTCAAAGAGTGGAAAATTCTTGTATCAGTAATGATCGGAAACTCGTTCTGGAATTTCATCGAACGAGCAGTGTGCAAATCAAACAAACCCAAAATTTACGTACAAGGAAAATGCCCACTAAGCGGATGAATTTAACAATGAAGAGAATATTGAAACGAGAATATTGAAACAAGAATATTGTATCATTATTCGTGAAATAAAAAAAAATACGGTTTCTCTTGCTGGGATATTGTTTCCGAATTCAGTACGAGACGTCAAAACTCCAGACACCAAATTCTTTGGTTTTAAACCATATTAATTAAAATGGGCTGCCCTGCCCCTGATGTTGTATCCTTGAGCTGAAATTAGTGTTTCCATGCGAGTGTATATGTAGTGAGAGAGTATTAGGCGTTCCAAATTCTGGAGGCCTTTCTTTTGGGCCACGTCTTTGCATTTCATCTGGACCATATATTAATTTGGGCCGCATATGAGTTGTTGCGCCGGATTATAGCAAAAATTTGAGAATATCTCAAGGGGAAAAAAAAATTCAGAAATACCACGCAAAATGATAAGAGATAGTATTTATGTCACTCCATTAAAAATAAATAATTATCATTCAATTAATAAAAAGAAAATGAAAGGCCATAATGATACTTAGTTATTTAAAATTACATAAATAAAAGGCCTGAATAAAATCATTAGCAAACCATGTACTTTTCTCATATTATATTTTTAATTAATCAAGTATTTCACAAAATGATTACTTTTAATTTTTAAACTCCTTATTTAGACTATGTCTTTAATTTAATAATATTGTCAATCTATCCATTTTATGACTATTGATATAACAATGTCTCAGATGGACCATTTTTTATGTGGGTGGTTATGAATTTACAAAACTGTTTTAATTGGGTGGTTAATAAGGATAAGTATGTCACTACAAATTATTTTACAAATTTATTGTTGTGGATATTCTTTTTTCATCTCCAACGTAATGGATATATATATATATAACTTTATTATTACACTAAAATAATTATTATATAATTGTATAGTATAAAATGTGATATTATTATATGACAATTATTACATTTTTTTTTTGTTTCTAAATTATTATAAGAAATTTTCTAAATTTCAATTCCCCGTAATAATTTTGTCATGCATTGTACTTTTTACCTCTTATGCTGTTTAGAATCCAGATGCTTTCCTATAGAATACAGATGGTTAATAGATATCAGTAATAGTGGATTGTTAGTTAATAGACTTTTATTCTAATGGCTGGTTTGATCATAATTTTTTCTTTGTTTAAGAGTGGACGATTTGAACTTGGGACTTCAACATTGAAGTTGAGTATGGAATTACTGTTTACGGCATGCTTGCTAACTCTAATGGAATGTAATGTAATGAGAAAAAAGAAAAAAAAAGTCAGAAGTCATAATGAAAGACTAGTTAATGTCGGACACTCCTGGTATCAGAACCCACAAAAGAGAGCTCAACTTACACCAGTCATCTTTTCTTTGCTCATACCAAACTATTGGCTATATATTTAGACATTACATATATATATATATATATGTATATGGCTCTGATTATATGCTCTCTCGCCGATAGAGAATGTTTGCCATAGAAAACAATGTTCAAATAAATATAGATGACATAAAAGTTCACTTAACCCTATCAACAAGAAATTGAGGTACCAATAAATAGAAGGTTCGTATCAGTTACATCCATGCAGGTATTATCCACCATCCAATTAACGAAATTCAATCTTTCGCAGGCTGTTAATTGTTATAAGAGTTGACATTGTGTCACTAGTCCTTATCAAAATACTAGGCGCAATTTAGTTCATAGGTTTGAACCGTAATTCAAATATTTTTTACTACGTTGTTTTCTCTCATAACAATTTAAATTTCTGTCCAAACTTTATGTTCAAATCTATTAACCCTTTCATATTTCAAGCACAAAAGAGACAGAAAGAAATGCACCAAAAAGGATAATGCTCATTATTAGCCAACAGGGAGGGTATATGTACAGTAATCAACCGCAATGATACACACTCAAACACAAGTCGACTTTTGTGTTCCTCCAAAGACCATCTGTAGATTTCTTTTAAGTCAATGAGAATATGTTGCAGCACTTTGTTAAATAAAAGTTGTTATCCATTTATGTACGGATGGGGGAAACAGATGGCTGAGGAGGAAATGAAGCTGCTTTTCCAATGCTTACTCCATTGGTACTAGCCCTTAGATGCTTGTGACCGTTCGATGATTTTCCATTAAGACTTTGAAGGTGATGTTGATTGCTCGCCGGGGCACCCACACAATCGAGCTCCTGAAGCTGTTCTAGTGCTTTTACCACCTCTTTCATGCTTGGTCTGTACTTCGGTTCTGTGGCTAAGCACTGAATCGCGATGTTAACTGCTCTTATGGCTCCACCTACTGAGTACTGGCCTTCGATGCGAGAGTCAAAGATTTGGAGAACTCTTCTTTTGCTGGCTAGATATGGTTTAGCCCATTCCACTAGATTGTGTTCTCCAGAGGGTCTGTTTTTGTCCACTGCTCGTTTCCCGGATAACATTTCAAGCATAACAACTCCGAAACTGTACACGTCGCTTTTGGCAGTTAAATGACCTTTATACAAGGAGGAATGAATCAAATTAATGCTAGATTGTCTCCAGCAAAGAATGTTACATGGTAAAGTGACGAAATGGCCTAAATGGTTACGCTGCAGACTAAAAAGCTTATAAGAGAGAAAGGGTGGTAGAGTTTCAGTGGAAATTAAGGAAATTAGAAACAAACATCCAAGTGTACATAAGATATGTAAGTCTATGATATATAGACGAGCGATTGTATTCAGCTCTACACGGAGCTGGCTCTGTATGGAGATACAAGGTGGTTCTCAAAAGTTGAGATCCAGCACTGTACGGCCCATTGTAACTCTTGCAAAGCTAGCTCCATGTGGAACCCTACTGCATTTTTTTTTTGGTAAATAGATTATGCTTTTCACAAACAATGTTGTACACTATAGGTACCTGTGGCCATATACTCTGGAGCTGCATATCCAAATGTTCCCATGACCCGTGTTGAGACATGGCTTCTATCACCCACTGGCCCGTCCTTAGCCAACCCAAAATCAGAGAGTTTTGCGTTATAGTTCTGTAAATACATATACAAAAGGAATCTGTAAGTCTAAGAAAACTTGATCAGAATCTAATTCAATCTAGCAAAGACACATAACAGATCATACCGAATCAAGGAGGATATTTGATGTTTTAAAGTCTCGGTATATTACTCTTGCTTCATCACTATGAAGAAATGCTAGACCCTTTGCAGCACCCAGTGCAACTTTCATCCGAATACTCCACGAAAGCGGTTGAAAGTGGGAACCCCCTGTTACCGCAAAAATTTAGTCCACGCATGATTAGATTACTTGATGATGTTATTCCTTGAATAAGAAAGTTGAAACTGGATGAACCAGCAGTAAAGATTTCCATCACTTACTCCTAAATAGATGATTATCCAAGCTGCCCCGCGACATAAATTCGTACACCAGAAGGCGATGATCATCCTCCAAGCAGTAACCTACCAATTTCACAAGATTGGGATGCTCCAATTGTCCAAGATAGTTGATTTCTGTCTATAAGTCATTAAGAAACAAATTATTAGATATATTACACATTAATCTATCTAGCAACAAAAAAGGATTAATTTCAACAAAACAAAAAACATAAATTGAAGCGAAAGAAAGATAGAAATTGGTACTAACCAACCATTCCTTGTGACCCTGAAGACCTTCTTGGTTAAGCCGCTTAACGGCAATGACCAAACCAGTACCGGGCTTAGCAGCTTTCAGAGTATTCTCATCAATCCAACCCTTGAAGACGCATCCAAAACCACCTTCTCCGACCATACTGTCGGGACGGAAGTTCCTGGTGGCGGTTTTGAGGTCATTGAAGCTTAAGCACTTCATGTTGGATGACTGCAGGATCTCGCCCTCCGTTCGGGGAGTCGAAGGCACTGACACAGACGACACCTTGCTTCCATAGTTTGAGTTCAACCCTTTACATGTTTAATGAACCAAAAAAACTACTAAGGCCAATGTTTGTTATATAGACAAAAAGTTGAAAAATCTCTCAGAGACAATTTATCAAACATATAATCAGCATATCCCGATCAAAATCCATTTCCTGATTAAAACTACTTCACGGGAATGTCAAAACATGATCCAAATATGCATAAAAGAAGAACAAACTATACATTTCTGTCGATCATACATAATATCAAAAGCAAAAAGAAAGAAACAAACGGTGAAGAATTTATGTCATACCATTACGATCTGGGCTTTCAGCTTTGATTCGAGAAGTGCTACAACAAGAACCCATGAAAGGAAAGAAAAGCTCAGACGTCTCTCTCTCTCCCAAAACCGGAAACAAGATTACTGGAGAGCTACAGTCAAAGGAAAGATATAGAAAGTAGAAACTAAAAAGTGTGAACATGTGGAAACAAAAGAGGCAAATCAGAGCCCGTGAATCGCTAAGAAGATTGCTCAAGTGTGAAAAGGCCAGTTTTTTTCAAAACCAGAATAGTTAGCTGGCAGCGGCATGCACAACCATTCAATTGAGAGCGACGCCAAAATAAAATAATTATATTAAATTAGAAAACAGTGAATGAAGGAATACACTCACACCCTTGTATTTTACTTAAATCATAAATTTCGTTTATTTTATTGATTTAGATTTTTAATTTTAATTTTTATTACAGTTAAAAGTTTTCATAAAAATTATATTTATTATTTTAAATTTTTTTAATTATAGTAAAAAAATTTTATATAAAATCACATTTCAATTAAAATTAAAAATTCGAATCAATGAACTGAACTAGTCAAAAACAACTCTCTTAGCAGAAACATTTTACGTCAATAGTGGCTCATCCTAATTTTATTTATTTTCAATTGGAAATTTCGTCAACAACCCCTCATCCTAATTTTGTTAACTAACTATTTAAAATAAGAGAGTTTTACCGTAGAATTTTTAAAAAATAAACTACCACTAAATTTTTATCATAGATTATGTGTTAACTTATACTATCAATAAGAACACCTACAGTAAAAAGACCCTTTAAAATAACCATAATATCATAACAATCTTAGTCATCAATGCACTTGTTGCATTAATCTTTGCTCTAAATAATGATTTTTTTTTTCACTTTTAAAGTGCAAGTCATAAACTTGTGTGTCCAAAAATTGTTAACATCAGTTTTGTTAAAGCTCTCAGAATTCGAGTTTGCTACAGTAAAAAGCTCTCAGAAACAGTCACATCTAACTTTTTTGCTACAGTAAAAAGCTCTCACATAAAATCACATATCAACTCGAATTACAAACTCGAATCAGCGAAGTGAACGGGCGTTTAATAAGTATAAAAACGTCATTTTAGGTTTCAATAGTTGGCCTCATTCCTTAAATATATTTCGATCGAACCATATTTTTCCGATATAATTGATCAAGGGGCATTTTTTAATTTTCTATAAATTTGTGGCATTTACATAAAATATTATAGATAATAGAATATATCCTATAATTTAGACAAAACACGGGAGGCTCAGCGTAAAAATACAAAAAAATAAAAAGAATGGTAAAAGAGCTCTTTTTTGGGTTTGTGAACGTGAAGTTTATAGATTTGTGGACGTTGGATGTTGGCCTGTTGGGTTCTGGGAACGTTTCTTTTTTCTGTGTACATTCAAATATTACATTAAAAGTGACAAAAGTGAAATGGTTGACTCTTTGGTTTGGTTTCTTTATCTACAAGTTGGAGATTTTCCCAAGTCCCAACCAAACAAAAATAAAAAATAAAAAAATAATTTGTGGGGAGAGAAAGAGAGCAATCAAGCAACCGAGTTCAATCAAACAAAAAATTATTTAAATATTACATGGATAAGCTTCAATCAAACAAGTCAATGTCGTTTTCTCTCTCTCTCTCTCTCTCTTAATTCTCATATTATTAACAATTGGTCAAAGCTGGTTAATAATATTTAAATAAAGCAACCGAGTTCATCAAAGTTGACACTGAACTAACTTATTATTAACAATGTTATAATACCTAATAAAGGAAGTTAATAATATTATGATTAGTTCTTAAGAGTGTTGGGATGCTTGGCTGAGTGGTTGATCAAGTGGGCTTTCACATTTATCTACTGTGGACCCTACTTCACCGAACATCTTCTCATGACACGTAGGATGCTTGGCCAATACTCTTGTCAATTGGTCAAAGCTGGTTCATGTCTTCAGGATAGCAATTACCACACCAATTGTGTTTAAAAATGTGCTAATTGCAATTGGATACCGAAATGTACCTTTTTCTTTAGAAAAGGATAGCGAAATGTATGTTGTTTAATTTAATCCTTTTTCGCTTGGACAATGAGGGTCAAAAATATCTTGCTAATATGGTCAAAAGATTGAAATTTCATATGCCATTGCTTGTTCCAAATTCTTAGTTTATCACTTTGAAAACGTACTATAAAAAAAATGCCCGTGGCAAGATATTGTTTTAAACTATCAAGTTATATTAGAATCATTAGATTAATAAAAGTACGACCATTTAATGAAAATTGATGAAAATTTATCTCTCATAGTCAAATTTTTTCTATTTTGTCCTACTAAAGAATTCGAGCCATTTAGACATATAACATAATCTTATTTATGTTATTTCACTCGAAAATAAATAATTGTCATTCAATTAAAAACCATATATGAGCTACCACATTACACTTACAAGAAACCCAAACAAACGTAACAGCACCTGGAGCACAAGTTAAAAATTTAGGGCCGTTTGGTTGAAGGATCCGGATCACATAATCAGAGTCAAGTTCCCGAATCAGTGTTTGGATCCACCAAGTTCCCGAATCCATGTCCGGTTGATTTGAATCAGGGTCTGAGTCATGGGTCCTGATTCAGAAATCAACCCCCCCTTTAATTCAGCCCAACTGCAATCAGGGAACAGTACACAAACAGTGGACTGAGAGTAATGACTCTCATCACCTTCCACACGCAGAGCTCACTACTCTGCCGGAGAAGCTCCACTGTTCTTCACTCAAAAACGACGATCAACCCAAGAATTAACAAGTCCAGAAAGCACATAATTTGCAACGAAAAATGAATCAAAAACCTATTTCACAACATTCAGTTTGGGAGCTGAGAAAATTTTTCCCGAAAAATTGGAATTTCCCGAGAAAATTAGGTACAACATCTTTAATTCTCTCCGAGCTTCCCACACATATGCCACCAAACTTATGGACAGACCACACATCACCTTTTGGAAGCTTAACTACTTCAGGGGATGTTTCCACAGGAGTATCTGTAAATGACGCTAATATTTTGCTTCTTGATGTTTCTTTTCTTCCCTGTCGAGAAATAAAATCCAATCTGAAAATGGGAGAGCGGTGAAGAGAGTGAGGAAGCGGACGACATTGGGAGGCAGAGAAGAGCTTGTTGAGAGTGGCGTCGTGAGGCAGTAATGCGTTTGGAGAGAAAAGGTAGTGGTGAGAGTTTGAGATCACCGACGAGAACGACGCCATTAGAGACAAGAAGAAAAAGGAGAGAGAAAGTAGAGAGAGAGTGTGTGTTACCACAGGTTTAAGTTTCTGGATTTTTGTTTTATTTCTTTTTTTCCGGAGGGGTGGGGTTCTCTAACAAGTCTACTTCCTTTTTTTTATAATGGACTAAAAATAAAAATTTTCAAAAAAAAAAACCCTTTTAAAATACATTTGTAAATATGTAACATAATTTCATTCACATGTTGTGGGTGGAATATCAGAGAAGTTATGGGAGATAAAAATATATGCTTAGTTTGTTATATAATTTTATTCACATTTTTTTTATTTATTTCGTAATTAGCTTGTTATAATTTTGAGTTATAATTATTTGTATAATTTTTTTGTAGTACTTTATTTTTTTATTATATAACGAATTATATTTATTATATAATTTTTTAAATTACATTTATTTTGGTCATGATTCAAATTTAGAAAACAAGACAACCAAACATTAGTTCGAATCACATTTCAGATTAGAATCAGAATTATGCATATACACATCCAAACGAAGGTTCTAATCACTCTGAATTATAATTCAAATCATGAATCATGGATCTGAATCAAATGACTCAAATCACCCTGATTTCAATTCTTATACCAAACGAACCCTTAATCTTTAAGAATAAAGGCAAAATCATCCAATCTGGACACGAAGATCTAGCATGAAGAGCATTATAAAACACCTTTCAAAATAACTCCACTAGGTTTCGGAAGACCAAGCTCTCCAACCTGAAATGCCTCTTGACTATTCTGCTTAAATTTCTTGATTGCAGAAAAGCAAGATTCATCTTCTGAATTTAGTTTGAGCCGAGGACCATACATCTGCACAGCTCTCACATGAGGAGCAATAACCATAGAAGGTGATTCCTTATCACATTGTATCATGCCCCAACACTCGGTATGTTATTTTTATTTTTGCTCCAATGCACAATGTTATTTAAAATGTTAAATCTATTTTCTCTCATCATCATTAAGCTTTAAAAATTGTAAAAGTAAATTTTTATTTTCAAAATAATCAAAAAATGCAAAAATTGTAATGATTACATGGAAAAGTAAATATTTCAACAAATATCAATTAAATGCCATATTTTTCATATGCTATATTTGGTGGGAATTTATCACAAAGTATAGCATATGAGGAATTTAACTGAACAAATAGCATTGTATTAGAAAGTAATTTTTATATTCAAATGCTAAATTTACAATTGACACATCAATTATAACATTGTACTAAAAATGCTCTAAGACTAAACAATTACCTAAAATGGCATGAGTAATAGGTCTTCTCAAGACCATAGCAAACCATTTTGCCATGTACTTTCTCATTTGTATTTGATGGGCAGGTTTTTTTTTTTTTTTTTTTTTTTTTTTTAAAAAGGGGGGAAAAAGGTTTGGATTAGAGAGGGGACCAATATGATGATTTAAAATACAAGATACGGTCTCCGGTAAGAGTAGTGTTTGATGAAGTTGAAATCCAATGACCAATTGGTTGAATATGTACTACCCTAAACAAAACAAAAATATATATTAAAAAAAATGTGTATGTATATGCAATACGTCATCCAACAAACACTCTGTGATTTCGCATCTTTCAAAACCATACTTTAATTTTGATTTTGGAAAAGGCGTGAAAGCGAAATGCAGCTCTATGATGTATTTCAGTGTTGATTATAAAAATCCACATCGGTTGCTTCTGATTATTATTCCTTAGTCCAAGTCCTAATCACCTCACTGCTTATGCAATATATTTCTTATTCTATTTTATCATTACTTACGCATCCAAGAACGTAATCAATAAATGAGATTAACACACTAGTTTCTCTTTTATTCAGCCATTTTAGTTGCAAAATCTAAGGAAGGCTTAAAGGATGTCTAGTACTTGCTTCATTTTCCAAACTAATTTTTGTGTTGAATCTTCTCAAGCATGAATTTCTTGGGCTCAGTCCTCTCATGGATACGAACCTTCCTTTGGATAATTTAATTAATCTTTACCAGATTTAACTAATCTTTTTAAAGTATTTAGTCGAGTGGAGATATTCCTAACTAGCCAAAAAAGGGAGTCAAGTTCAGTTTTAGTTTTCAAGTTATAGTTCAAATTTTATTACAATGATTTTTAAAACGTTTCAAAACAAGTTCTCAATCTATTAAATTGCTTCGTATCAATCATTTTTTCTCATTCGGCTGTTAATATCTTGACAAAGAAAGGCATGCGCGATATATGTGCACCTTAGCAAGGATTAATTTTGCGATTTTATTAGTTATTAATAGCCATTTTTATATTTCTTTATTGTTTGTACTAACTTGTTAATTTAGATATGTGGTTTAATCATTTATCTTAGTAGTTGTTTTATTGTCCTTCCATGTGTGAGCTATAATAGCTACGTTACCAATTGTATAGAGACTTGAATCTTTTTGACAATTTAATACTAGAGTTGAGGTTTCTCTCTAATTCGGAGATTTTCCCTTTGTGAATTTTTTTTAGGTAGATTTGGACCTTGAGCCCTTTCTCTCGTCTGGGTTAGGTCAGTAAAACATATTATATTCATCCCGTTGCATCAGTGAGTATAAAAAAGAAAATCATGAACTCATTCTGAGACCAAAAAAAAAAAAAATTCTCCTTACCAAGACCAAAAATCACTATCTAACGTTGTAAAGTTGTTGGTTGGGCGCTGAATTTACTGGACGTCCAACGCACACTAGTCACACCACGTTTTGGAAGCATTGATGCAACGGCGAAGCTCCACTTGCACAAAGTCCACAAAAGATGGCCTTGCAAAGGGCCATTACAATAACAATTGATTGGCATAAGTTTGACAAACTTATAACTACTTGGTTTAATTATTCTTCTAGATTGTTGAAAGATTGAAATTCAATCTAGAAGGGCGTTGAAACCGAATTTTCTACCTACCCACACGCACGCATATACAAGTGGGGAGAAGGATTCGATTAGATTAAAAAAAAAAAAAAAAAAAAAAAAAAAAAAAAAAAAAAAAAAAAAAATATTATCAAAAAGAGGAGGGGAAGGGTGGGAGGGATTACAAAAACTCTAAAAAAGAAGTTTGAAGGAAAAAAAAAAAAAGAAAAATCTAATGTACTAATTAAGCTTCCTTTTGCACATTTGTAATTGTTTGCTTGTATTGATTGTGTATTCTACAGTTTATTTTTTGTAATTTACAGTATAGTTACTGATTGTTGTGCGTAAGAAAATGTACACAAGTGAATAACACAATTCCTAGTAAGAAAATTTATTTGGCCACCAAGTCTGAAAAGAGGTTGGTCATTATCATTATTGTGAAGTGGATGCGGATATCATTGACCATCAAATGGAAAAGGCCAGTCTTGTAATGTTACCGAATCGGCCCTAATATTACTCGTAAAATTGACACATCTGAAGAATTTTACTATAAAATAACTCACGACAAATGCAAGCACTGAAGCATATTACAAATGCCATCAAACAGATTTTATTAATACATTAAAATCCAAGTTCAGATCCGGGTGCTCTCCCAAATACGTCAAAAAAAACGTGTTATTCCTCCAAATATTAACTATAAAATTGTGCGGATAGATTATCTATCTCCAAAACAAAAGGTTAAAAAAATCACCGCCTAATCATTGCTCAGTTCCAACACTTCAGGCACTTTTCTTCACCTCAGCTGACTTAATAATGTCAATGAACTCCGGCTGCATAAAAGCACAAAATGAGTCCACACATGAGCATAACGAGCAGGCAAAGAAAAACAAAGAATAATAGAAAGACAACATGAGCAAGTGTACACAGGCGAGGCAACGCCGGTACAATTACCTTGAGAGAAGCCCCTCCGACCAAAAATCCATCAACATCAGGTTGCACTGCTAGTTCCTTGGAGTTTGCAGCATTGACAGATCCTGAAATTAGAAACGCGTTTGATGTCAAATAAGGCAAAGGAGACACAAAGAAACGGTCTAATTGCTTATAAACAATGTTTTTCAATATCATTCTGAGGGATATCAAATTTCCATTATGAAAAACCAAATGACAATTTTTTTTTTTTTTGGTACAAAAATAAGTGGTATTACAAGCAATAATTCCTTGAGATTTGACCAAGACATCTGAAGCACCTACTCCTACCCAGAGTATGCAACATACAACTTGACTTCGAAAACATGTTAGCTCATCTTGCCCTCCATCAGAAACAGATTTAAAGAATACTAACTAAGCCCAACTCAGGATTTTACCTTAAATGGGTCAAAGCCTGCTCTACTTGTTTAGCTAGTAATTTTTAACACATGGTGTCTTTGTAATATCAGATTATCAAATTTCATTTTCTCCACCACCACCCCATCAAAAAAATTGAATAAAAATATTGTTTCCCTGTGTTTAGCAGGAGAAAAAGAGAGAAAAAGAAACTCCTGATTGAGGCCACCCAAAAATTAAAAATGAAAAATAACACATAACATAGACAACTTTGGTGAGGGCTCATGTACCTCCATAGATAATCCTAGTGGTAGCAGCAACTTCAGGACTGGTGTTCTGGTGAAGCCATTTCCTTAATTCATCGTGTACCTGTTATATATCAAATTTCTAATGAAACACTGACATGGTAAAAAGAACCAAATAGAGGATAAATGCAATTTGACAAGGTAATTATGCCAAACACTAAAAGCAATAATTACGCAAGGGTATCAAAGTTCTAGCACAAAATAAACACCCTCAAATAGGGTTTGGTGAGAGGTTAGACAATTAACTGAGAAGAACATCCATCAACAGTGAGCTCACCACATGTACTGGCTAACAAAGAATATGCTTGAATTAAAGATGCATTGAGAAATGTCTCATGTTTATGCAGCAAATACAGCAAATAAATAACAATTTACCACACGTGGAATCTGACATAATCTCATAGTATGACTTCAATCAATAAGGTAAAGGTTTGTGACTTACTTCCTGAGCCTGAGCTGGAGTTGCAACCTTCCCAGTTCCAATAGCCCACACAGGCTCGTAAGCCAAAACAACATTGGTCCAGTCCGATACAAGTTCTGCCACATAATTTGAAACGACCAAAAAAAAAAAATCAATAAATCCCTGATTTGGCATTCAACAGAAACAACCCTATATACTAAATTAGGCGTACTTATAGTCGTACAAACATCCTTCAAAAACATGAACAAGTAAATTCCTCATAGCAAATATGAAATCTTAATTTGTAATTCCAAATCAATGATTAGGTTTCCAAACAAAGCTCCATTCTCTACAACTCACATTTCAGATCCAATTACTACCATATAATGTTTAAGAAATGGAGCAAGTTTAAAAGATATATGACTATCCAAAAACTTAGGAAGAGTCAAATAACTCATTGCGAATCGTCTCTTAACATACAATGCAAAAGATTCACCTGCAATTGCCTTGGTTTGAGCAGCAACAACCTCCACAGTTGTTCCTGCTTCCCGCTGTTCAAGAGTCTCACCAACACAAGCAATCACCTTCAAACCTTTAGAAAGTGCATATGCAACCTTATCCCCGACAAACTGAAAAAATAAAAAGCATAAAGAGAGTTGTTATATCTTTGAATTTGGATGACAACTTACGAAGCAATTTGAATGAAAAATTGTTCTGCATCATGATTCACACCTACTTAAAGTGCTACTTTCACAACACAAAAAGAGGAGGGAAAGTAATAAAGATTACCTCATTGGATTCACCCAAGATAAGTCTTCTTTCAGAGTGACCAATGATGACCCAAGGAATATCCAAATTGACAAGCATCTCTGCACTGCAATAGGCAAGACAACACTTAATGATCACACAAGGTAAACCCATAACAATTAGCACAAAACCAACCAAATATAAAATAATGAACAGGCAAAATATAAACCGAGCCTTTTCAGTAGAGTAATTTAATGCATATAAAAAGAGCTAAATGTACTTGCAAGTTGTAAATACTTGAGTATAACTGCTATAGATGTGTTTGTGAGAACATCAAGATATTTAGCTTTAAGTGAAGAAAACAAAAGAATGTATATGTTTGCATAAATGTCAAAGATGATAGATTTCAACACAACCATCTTAAAGACTATGCTTCATCTATTTATTCAAGTTGCATCAACATTCATTTCTCTACAAGTTCCAACGTCATTCCTTTTATTTTTTTTCTGGGTACAACTTCCATCCTCTACAAAAACCCTCAACAGATTCAAGGAAAGGATCAAGCTCAAACATTTTATTTTATAGCCCAGAAATCACCCAAACCACTTAGCAGGCTTGAGTTAGAATCTGTCCTACAATCATTGGGAAGCTTGATACTTGGTGATATTTTATTCACCAGGTAGACCTGCTCCCCTCAGAATTGAACCCCGACCATGTAGAGCAAACCACAGGCCTGACGGCTAGGCCAACCCTTTGGATTAAGAACCAAGTTTAGACATTTCATGTCAAGACCATAACGAAATAACTGTATGAGCAGTTGATATTAACTTACCTAATCTCCCCGGTGTAAGCACCACCTTTCTTAACCCAGCAGTTTTGTGCCGCAACATGAAAATCAGGCCTCAATAAACTTTTCACCAGGGGAAGAAACACAAATGGAGGGCTGACCACAACCTCTACAGACGAACAAGCACAATGAAGACTAAAAAGTTATCCACAAAATTTTTGTTCTGGAATATTTATTAGCTATTATAGCTAAAAGCCTAATCTGAATCCATTTTTATCTTTGCTAAACTTTTACCCGACAACCCACATTCAGAGTTATATTCATCAAAGACGTCTAAACTTTTTTTTTAAATGCGTTACTGAAACATCTGACTTAAACGCGACAAAAGCTAAGGTGATTCACAAATCTTACAATAACACATGTTCCAAACTACAAAAACCAAGACAACAATAACCACATGATAATAAATAAATAAATAAATCGCAAAAACAATTACAGAAAATTACTCACCAACAACATCTTGGGAAGGCACTTGACCCTCGTTGAGTGTGTTAACAATCTTCTTCACCTCCTCAGCGGTTCCATTCTACACGTAGATTTATTACTTTAGCCCACAAAATAAACAATATTTAAATCTAGCATTTTATTTTACCAATCAATTTTCAGTTTTTCACAAAACATGGATCATGTAACAGAAAATGCAGATCTAACGAGAGATCCACAGGATTATCCACCCTCAGATAGCCAAAAGCTCATAATAATTTTAAAAAAAATATATTAATCTATCGAATCTTTCATCTTTTTTCCCATTCGCAATTAAAAAAAAAAAAAAGAACAGAGCTTTAAAACAAATGATCGGATTTCGATTTCATCTAATTTCCTGCGTTTTCTCGGTAACCAAACACGAATCAGGACTTACGCATTTCCAGTTACCGCCGACGAAGAACTTCCTTCCCATCCTTCTCGTTAGTATCGAAATCGCAGCGCGAGAGAGAGACAGAGAGAGTTTGTGTTGTGTGGCTGTTTTGGTTTTAGGCTTTTAGCTTTGTTTTTCGATAGGTTTAAGAGTGGAAAGGATAGTGATTTATTATGTAATTCTTTTTCAGACAGAAAAAAAAAATAAAAACAAAAATAATTTTTGTGGATTCTCCTTCTTGCCGTCCGATTTTTATCATCTAATTTACCGTTATAGGCCTATAATTTGGAATATTCCTGGAGCATCGAACAGCATCATGGGTAGTGGGCAGGGGTAATTTTGTCCATTTAAACTGGTATTTTGGAGGCCCACTGTTTTTGTAGTCATTGATTTTGGGCCGAAAAACCCACGGATTCTTCCCCGCGTCACAACCTGTCGTTAAGTCTCTTTGCACTAGAAAAATAATCATTTTAAGATACCAAATTTTTTAATACTAAAAATTTTTCATTAAATTTCGGTAGCCCAAAGTATTAAGGTTTTTGTTACTAAATTTGGTAGCAAAAATAACACAATTCGCTACTAAATATAATTTAGTAACAAATAACATGGTGAGAAATAAAATTTGATTCCCGCCAATAATTTTTTGCTACCAAAATAATATTTGGTAACAAAAGTGTAAGATTCTGCCACTAAAATTTGGTAATAACATATTACTTTTTTGCTACCAAACTTGTTTTGGTAACAAAATGTTGGCGGGAAGCAAAATTTTTTCTCGCCCAAGGTATTTGTACCGAATTATTTTTGGTAGCAAAACAAATAACATTTGCTACTAAGTGTTGGAAGTAAAATATAACTATTTCCCACCAAAATTTGGTAGTGAAAAATCAAGGCCGTGTTTGAAATTGATCTCATTTTTGTTTTTTACGTTTTTCGAGAAAAAATGAAAACGTTTTCAAAACGGCGTTTGACGCAATGAAGACAATAAACGGAAATGAAAATAATTTTTTAGTTTAGTGTAAAATGAGAGAAGAATGAAAAACGACTGTTAGTCATTTTTCATTTCTTGTTTTCATTTTCTCCTCTCTCGAGCAAAGAGATAGAAAGAGAGACATTAATGAGTTTTTTTACATTGAAAATAATCTCTTGATAAAACTACCAAACGAATTTTTAAAAATGATTTCTGTCCGAGATTAAAAACATTTTCATTTTTAGTTTCATACAAAAAAACAAAATCATTTTGGAACGAGTTCCAAACGCGCCCCAAGTTTTTGCTACCGAAAAATATAATTTTTTGCTACCAAATTTTGGTAGCAGAAAATAAAATTTTGGTACCAAATTCATATTTTGGTTACAAAAAGATGTTTTTTGCTACCAAAACTTGTGTTTAGTAGCAAATCATATAAAAACTTTAAAATTTATATTTTGTGCTCGTATTATTTTTTTTCAGTTTTCTATGAATATGTCCTATATTAAGTTTTAACAATCATCCTAGTATATTTTTTATAACAATTATTTAATAATTTAGTTATTTTGTGTAGGTGCAACAAGAGACATGTTCATGTGTACACATATATGATCTTGTTAATTAAGTATATGTTCCACATAAAGTAGTATATAATCTCGTCATTTGATTGATTTTTAACTTTGAATAATGTATTTCAATTTCAAAACTACATTTTTTGTTGTAATGTTATTAGAACAATAATTATAAAATAATTTTTGTCATTAAAATGTTATTTTTTTGAATTTTTAATATACATATTTCTGGTACCAAATTCATATTTAGTAGCAAAAAATATGCTTTCAGCTACCAAAACAATGTTTGGTAACAAAAAACATAAGTTTCTTGTACTATATTTTGGTAGCAGAAAACATGATTCTGGTACCAAATTCTTATTTTGGTGACAAAAAGCGTTTTTTGCTACCAAAAGTTGTGTTTGGTAGCAAATCATATAAAAACTTTAATACTTACATTTTGTGCATGTATTGTTTTTTTTATTTTCCATAAATATGTCCTATATTAAGTTTTAACAATCATCATAGTATATTTTGTATAACAAGTGTTTAATAATTTAGTTGTTTTGTGTATGTGTAACAAGAGACATGATCATGTTATATATATATATATATATATATATGATCTTATTAATTAAGTATATGTTCGACATAGAGTATTATATAATCTTGATATTTTATTACTTTTTAACATAGAATAATGTATTTCAATTTTAAAACTATATTTTTATGATAATATTACTAGAACAATGAACCTAAAATAATTTTTATCATCAAAATGTATTTTTTTTTATTTTTAATATGTCTTTCTACTACTAAATTAAAATTTAGTGGCAAAAAATATACTTTCAGTTACTAAAATATTGTTTGGTAACAAACAACGTAAATATTTGCTACCAAATACTTGGTAACAAAAAAAACAAAATTTTTGTGGGAAAAACCTTTTAATATGCCCTCCTTAAAAATTCAAAACACACCCACCACCTGTTCTCTTTCTCCCGCTTTTCTCTTCTTCTTCTTCTTCCTCTTTCGATCTGCAACGATCCATGGAGCTCCTTATTGGAGTTTCACTCGGCCGGCATCGGAGATCCACCCGCCATTGGGGTCAAACCCAAGATAGGTGAACAGGTGTTCGCGGTGGTGGCTAGGTTGAGATGAGGAGAGAGAACAGGTGCCTGCCGGTAGCTGTGACGTCGAGGCTAGGCTCGCTGGCGAGAGAGAGGAGAGAGAGGATGGGCTAGGTTAGATCGGCGAAGAGGCGAAGAGAGTAGTGAGTTTCTAGGACATGTCGAAGAAAAGGGGCAGACGTGGTTCGCGACGAGGTTTATCACGCGGGGGTAGTGAGGAAGCGTGCTCGCCGGTGGGTGCAACGTCGAGGCTGTTGGTATCCGAATCGAATTCGGATGCGGAAGCGTGAGGGTAGCAAATTGTGTATAACAAAAATTTTCAAACAAACTTTGAAATACTCGATAGATTATATTAATTTATGCACGAATAAATTAATCACATTAATTCATTTATTAAGAACTCAATTACGAATAATACCTGGCGGCCGATTAGAATAATAACTTAAGTTCTTTGACCTCGAATAATCATTGCTCTAAAGCCTTGTGTTTAGAAAACCAATGTCTTCCACGTCAATTCCTAGAATCTACGAGTGTGGGCACACCTGAGACAAAACGGGTTAGAATAAACACTCAAATTTCCACAAGCACCAATGCATGCACGATGTGGATTTTTTTTTTTTTTGAGAAAACAAATTTTTTCTTTTCACAATAAGAGAATTTCGGCCACCACCCAAAATATAGGGCAAAAAATTGTGTCACACAATTTTCTATCATTCTCTTATTTATAGAGTAGAAGTCAAATTTTTAGAAGGAATCCAGTCTCTATCTCCAAGATAAAGCTTGTTAATTATCTCCTATTTGAATTTGGAACAAAATCTCCTCTTCTCTTTTATTCATTATGGCCGGCCATAGATTAGGGATTTTATCCTTGTGTAGGCACCAATATCAGTTAGGGAAGGAAGAGAAAATCATCATTTATCCTGCAGTCCAATTTTGATTCAAAATCAAATTCCAATTTAAGTCAAACTTAAATTAATTTGAATTCTAAATTGAACAACTTATCAAATAAGTTTAAATTGATAAAACTAGATGTGTTCAAATTCAAATTTAAATAATCACATTATTTAAATAATAATTAATTCTCAATTAATTATTTTTGAGTGTTTAATTTTGGAATTTCGTAGTTCTAAAATTCCCATTTTACCCTTGGTGTCTTGTAGAATTACTAGGATGACACGAGGACTAATGAACCTATAATTCCACGCTCCAATAAAATTCATAATTAATTACACACTTTAATTAATTAATTAATTCTTTTAATTCCAATAGTTACTCCACTATAAACTTGGAATTGCACTCTCAAAATTATAGATATAAATTACTTCTAAACTATGAAGTGTCCATGCGATATAGTCACTACATATAGATCAACCCTACATAAATAATTCATAATTAGAGCTAGGTAAAATCCGTGAACCTCTCTAATTACATATTTATCCTTGAGTACCATTGATTCTCTAATGTACAGTGATTCATAAAACACATTCATGAATCGGAGCTCACTGGTCTAAGTACCGAATCAACCCTCAAGAGAATTATTTATCTACTTCTATCTCAAGAAGGAATGGATTCCATCTCGTGTAATAACATTCCTGGCTACCTACTTCATCATGTCTCCAAAATACAACGAATAGGATTCAGGATCTCAGAATCCATACCGAGTAAATCAAAAGACACAAATCCATAAATAGGAGTATGTTAAGAACTCAGGATTAAGATCATTCTATATATGACCATCGGTAGACTCAATTAGAATTTCTATACTTAACGGAAATTATTAGAAATTCATATTGTGTCTGTGTCCTTGTTCCACATAATCTCATTATGTGAAATACACTCATTCAATATTTCACCATATTAACAGTGTGGATAACACCGTTCTATTCTAAATGAGAATGACATGTATTAATAATATATTAATTAAAAATTCTGACTTTAATTAAATTCATTATGAACACTGTTTTTTATTATTATCATTAAACATTATCCTCTCACATATAACACTTACATACAACGTTTAAGGTCACATAAATAATTATTGAATTTTCATTTGATATTCATAAAATATTCATAAATATATGCACATAAAATAATGAATAAACTCTTTTATTAAATAAATAATTAATATTCTATTACATATCATGCTTCTAGGATATCATTCCCAACAATCTCCCACTTGTCCTAAATCAGGTAGAATATGTCTCCAATCCTAAAACTTTCTGGGTGTCCATGATTGATCTATGCCTGGAACAACTTTCAGATCAGTTAAGAATTTCTAGAGTCAGGTTGCTTTCTTTTGCGGCTTCACAAGCTGCTGCACATTAACTCTTAATGATAGAATTAGCAATCACAGTTTGCCAACAACCTTTCGTATCATGACTCCTTCACCTAGTGTGAACACATATTTTGATGTTGACTCACAAAATGCATGACTCATAGTCAAAGTCTGTGTATCCAGCTAAAGACAACTCTTTCACTGAATAAACTATCTTATAGTTTCTTGTTTTCCTC